CCAGCACTCACCTTCCTGCGGGGGCTGCACCTGCTGCACCTCTTCAGGCTGCTGTGTTGGAGCAGCCCCAGGGCTTTCCTCCTCCTTCTTCCTCCGGAACAGCCTGAGCAGGCTGAAGCGTCTCCCTGCCATGCCACAGTCTGGTGTCCAGGGCACCTGCAAGAGAGAAAGAGAACCTCGGAGAAACTCCGGGCCCTAAGTCCTGCAGAATGGCCTGGAGGCCACCTGCCGCAGGGATTGGAGACACCTCGGAGAAGCTCCGGGTCTCCAAGTCCTGCAAAAGGGTTTTGAGAGCACCTGCCACAGGGCTTAGAGACACCTCGGAGAAACTCCGGGTCTCCAAGTCCTGTGGAAATGCCTCGAGGTCACCTGAAAGTGAGAAAATCCTCCAAAACGCTCCGGGTCAGCAAGGCACGAGTTGGCTGCGCGGGGGCTCCGCACAGCACCGCTCTGTCCCGTCCTGTCCCGTCGCCTGCTCCGAGGAGCACTGTTGACACTGTGGCCGTGTCACCAGCAGCACCTCTGTCACCGCGGGTCATAAAGGGCCCTTGGACACCCTGCCCCCTTCCATCCCACCGGCCGTGCCCAGCGTGTCACAAAGGGCCCTGGGACACAGCGCCAGGTGGCCTGGGGCCTCCCCCAGCCCTGCCAACCTGCCCCACCTTGGAGGGAATCCGCTCTCTGAAGTATCTAATCTGGCTGGACCTGAACTGTAGGAACGGCTCAAGAAATGAGCAAACACTCCCCTCCTGTGCCTGCTCACGGCAGCACAAGGAGCCCCCTCGGCCGCCGACTCAGCCACAGCAGGAAGGGCACGGGGCCTTCCACACAAGCTGGCACGGCCTCCTTGGGAGAAGTGCTGGCTGGTGGCCATCCTAAACAGGGGGGCTGACACCGAGAAGGAAGGTGTGGGCAAGGGCACCAATGCTGCTGGGAGCCCTTTGGCCAGGGCTGCACCCAAGTCAGCAGTTTTGGCAAGTCCTGGCCAGAGGAGACCTGCCACCGCCCAGAGTCCTGGCAAGGCTGCTGCCCATCTCTTTCCCCAGAGAGCTGTGCCCCCGTGTATTAGTTCGTTTGAATACATGCCCGGAATAAAGACAAGGACAACAGACATTCAAACACTAAAAAATAAAATATATTATAAAAAATAATATATATTATATATAATATATATATAATATATTATAAAAATATATTATAAATAATATATATAATACATTATTAAAATAATATATTATAAAAAATATAATATAATTACTTTCTGACCCTTCTATTCTCCATCGATTATCTAAGTCAAAAGTACACCCTTTACAACTGCTTATAGAACCCACACACCCTATAGGCCCCTGTGTGCCCCTATAGACACCCTTTGCACCCCTATAGACACTCCCAAGGCCTACAGACCCTCACCATTGACACCCACTCCTATAGACCCTCCTCACTTGTCCCTGGTGATTCAGGTAATAGAAATATTGGGGTGGTGTGTGAGGCTTTGTAAGGGTTGTGGGTTCTATGGGGGGGGTGTCTGTAGGAGTCAGGGGGGTCTAAAGGGGTTGGGGTGTCTATAGGAGGGCTGAGGATCTCCAGGGCGGGCGGCAGCCTAAAAAGTTCTATAGGTGCCTATAGCCATTCCCAACATGTCTGTAGTGTCCTATAGGTGTCTATACCCGTTCCCTGGGTTTCTATAGGGTTCTATAGGTGCCTATACCCGTTTCCAGGGGTCTATGTGGGTGGGTGGGTGTCTGTAGGGGTGCAGAGGTACCTGTAGGGTTGTACAGGTGTCTGTGCCCGTTCCCGGAGGGGTGGGCGGTGTCTATAGGGTTCTATAGGTGCCGATCCCAGGGGGGCCCCACTCCTGCCCCCCCCCGGCCCTTCCACAGCCGGTTCCGTTTCCCTCCCCCCCCCCGCGGTGCCGCCGCTATTCCAGTCCCCCGTGGTGCCACTTCCGGGTTGCGCCGTCTGCCAGGCCTGCTGTTGCCTGTCACGACAGGGGCGGGGCTCTGGGGGCCGGTGTCACCTGTCGCGACAGGGGCGGGGCTCTGGGGGCCGGTGTCGCCTGTCACGACAGGGGCGGGGCTCTGGGGGCCGGTGTCACCTGTCGCGACAGGGGCGGGGCTCTGGGGGCCGGTGTTGCCTGTCGTGACGCGGGGGGTGGGGGCGATGTGGGCGGGGGTGGTGCGCGCGCGTGGCCCGGGCTCGGGTACCGTCAGGGGCAGCGGCCGGAGCCCCGAACCTGAGAGTGTTTCTGTTCCCTGGATCATCAGGAACAGGTGGGGGGGCCATGAGGGGCATCTGTAGGGGTGTTGAGGGTCTGTAGGGGAGCTATAGGGGGTATAGGGGTGGGTGACTGTGGGGTGGGTCTGTAGGGGTGGCTGTGGGGGGATATATGGGGTGCGGAGGGTCTGTGGAGGTGTCTAGAGGGGGATTGAGGATCTATAGGGGTGGGTGGGGGTCTATAGGGGATCTGAGACCTCTAGAGGTATTGGGGGGATCTGTAGGGATGGGTGACTATGGGGTGGGTCTGTAGGGGTGGCTACGGGCAGATATATGGGGTGTGGAGGGTCTGTGGGGTGTGGGGGTTACTATATGGGTGAGTGGGATCTATGGGGGGTGTCAGTGTGGAGTCTGTGTGTCTATAGGCGTATGGGGGTGTCTATGGGGGGGTGTCTGTAGGGGTGAGCAGGGTCTGTGGGGGTGCTATAGGGGGTCTGAGGGTCTTGGGGGGGTGTCACCCCCTGGACTGGTCAAACTGGGTGACTTCAGCTCGGCCCCTGTAGCCTCCCCAGCCAATTCCTTCGTGGGGACCCCTTACTGGTGAGACTGGGGGGGACTGGGGTTCGATATCTGTGGGGTCCCAGGAGGGTTTGGGGAGATAAAATGGGGTTTGGGGAGCCCTGAAGGGGTTTTGGGGGGTCCTGGAAGTGTTTGGGGGGTCCCTGAGGGGCTTTGGGGGGCCCTTGGGGGGGCCTGGGGGATATGGGGGTCCTGGGATTGGTATTTGGGCCAAAAAGGGAGGAATTTGTAACAAAAAAAGAGCCAAAGAGGGGAAAACTGAATGAAAACAATGGAATTTGGACCAAAAATGGGGAGTTTGGGGGAAAAAAGGGGAAATTTGGGGCAAAAAAGGGACAGTTTGGATCCAAAAATGGGCGCTTTGGGCCCCCAAAAAATTGGGAAATTAAGCCCAAAAGGGACAGTTTTGACCCGAAAAGGGGGTCCAGGGAGTATTTCAGGGGGTCCCAGAGTGATGGCAGAGCTCAGGAGGAGCTGACAGGGTCCCACACAGGGTGATACCCAATGTTGGAGGCAGGTACAAGGTCAAAATGCTTTTAGTCTCAAAACAACTTGATTTCAGTGCAGCAAAAGAGCTTGAAAAATAACTTCTTATGAAGTAGGAGGTCTTTGACTTCTGCCACTTTCTCTGTATTTTGTGTTCACCACCACAGTTTTGCAAGAAATCAATTTGTAAACACTTTTTATATGAAGTAAAAATGAAATTGCTCTGCCTTTGTTTTCTAGAAGCACTTTGGTTAACAAAGAACCTGACAGCATGTTGGCCCACATGTTTAAAGATAAAGGGGAGTATATTGAAATAAACTTTATGTTTTTAAATAATAAATTAGCAAAGTAAGCAAAAGGCACTGTCAAGCTGAGAATCTAAAATATCAAAAGTATATTAAAGTACCAAAGAAGAAGATAGAATTATTCTTTTAATAATTCTTTATTTCTCTGTTGCCCACCTGTTTATTATCTCACAAAGTGAAAATACAACTTCCCTCCACAGTTAGTATTTTGGGTCCTTTTTTGTTTGTTTGTTTGATTGATTTTAGGTTTTCACGTTATTGTTGCTCAGTTTCCTCAGGAGAATCCACGAGCAAACCATGTCCGGGGCAGCCTTTGGGAGACAGTCAGACTCAAACCTTAGTGCTGCTTTAATTCTTATGCATTTGATAAAATATTTTAGTTATTTAGAGCAGCAACAAGTTCATTTTAAGGTGATTTCCCCCCCCCACTCCTCTTTTCCTTCCTTTACAAAACACCCTTTCAGACGTGGAATTTTCACATCCCGCTGCCTTTGGTAATAAAACTCTGTAAGTGAAGCAAATCTATTAATAGATCAGATTTAATTCTATATATTAATATATCCTATTTAATTTTATATATATATGTTGTGGAAAGAGATGCTTGGGGGAACAAGCAGGATCATAGAGGAGCATTCCTAATTGGCCGCAGTCTTTTGAGCCCATTTTGAGCTATTTATGTCACGGACAGCTCCTTGTAAATGATGGCCTTAATTTGCCAGGTAGGTATTACCTGTTAGACATGTGAATTATTCCTCTTTGGGAGTTAAGCTTTGCCCTCCAGGTGAAGCCAGAGGGACCTTTGTGTGCTCATCTCTGTGGTTTTCTTTGGAGTTTATTTCCTCAGGATTTATTCTCGAGCATTGCAGCTCCACGTTGCTTGATTTAATGAAGGTATTGCTTGATTTAATGAAGGTATTGCTTGATTTAATGAAGGTATTGCTTCATTTAATGAAAACAGGCTCTTTGTTTATCTTGGGAGCATTAAAAGTTGTCCATCCTGGAGTCATGTCTGGCTGGAATTCTGGAGCTGACACCTTTAACCCAATGCTGGTGTTGCAAACAGCCTGACTGAGTGATTTTTTTCCTTTTAGCTGCAAGCAAGCTTTTCCTCTGCCCAGTTACATCTAATACAATGGCTGTGGTTGTTCTCCAGCAGGGAGAAGGGTGATTTCTGGATTCACAGTTCCCTGGAAATAACAAACTCTTTGTTTCCAGGTGTCCTGTAGGAAGCCACGTTTTTTGGTGTTGATTCACTAATCAAACACCTGGAAATAGCCATGAAGGTAATTTGTTTGAAGACCTGAATGCACCTGCCCTGCCCTTGCAGGGGATGTGTAATTTAGTGCTGTCTGTGTCAGCTGTTGAACAACATTCCCAACAGAATTCCCAGCCAGCTGAGGATCACTGTTCCACCTCTCAGAAGGAGTTTGTCCGGTTCCTGCTGGCAACACCCCCCAAGTCCGAGCTGCGCTGTCAGGTGAGAACACATTTCTCTTTCTAACAAAATTCTGGGGATTTCTTCCCAACATCTCCTCTAAACCTCCCTCTTTTCTATTAAACCCACTGCCCCTTGTGCTGTCCCTCTCTGGAGTGTTGGTGCCTGGTGCTGGAATGTGGCAACGTGAAATGCAAACAATGTGTTCTCTTGAACTGAGTTTGGATTCTGAGCTGTGGCACAGTGACCTTGACTTGGAATTCCAGGGTGGTTTGGGCTGCATTCCTGCTTTAGGGGGAAGCTTTCCTGGAGGAGCAGTTTGTTGAAATGTAAAATGAACCAAAGACAATTTTTGAGAGCTTTGCATTTAGATTTCATTAGTCTTAAGTAGTAGAATAAATGGTCTTGTGTGTATTTGTCTGTATAGAATCATGGACTGGTTTGGGTTGGAAGGGACCTTAAAGGTCTTCTCATTCCACCCCCTGCCATGGGCAGGGACACCTTCCACTAGAGCAGGTTGATCCAAGCTGTCCTTGGACACTTGCAGGGATCCAGGGGCAGCCACAGGTTCTCTGGGAATTCCATCCCTGCCCCTCCCCACCCTCCCAGGGAAGGATTTCTTCCCAGTCTCCCATCTAACCCTGCCCTCTTTCAGTTGAAAAACCATTGCCCCTTGTCCTGTCCCTCCAGGCCCATAGAAAAAGTCCCTCTCCCTCCTTTTTATAAGCCCCCTTCCCTGGTGGGGTGTCTTCAGCTCCTCCCAGGCCCTGTGTGTGTCTGTATCTATCTTGTATCTGTGTATATTTATAGACAGCATATATTTTAATACATTTCTATCCATATATTTATACATATACTTTGTAAATATTAACATACACATATCTACACAATGATGTTAACTTTGTGTCCAGACCTACCCCTTCCCCTCTGTAACCCTTTTGGGGGGTTTATTCCTCGGGATTTCCAGGGTCTCGGTATCAGTGGAGCGGATCTTTCCCACCTGGATCTTTGCTGCATCAACTTCAAGGTGGCCAATCTGAGCCACTGCAACCTGGCCCGTGCCAACCTGTGCTGTGCCAGCCTGGGGAGGGCTGACCTGTCAGGCTCTGTGCTGGATGGAAGAGCTGCTGCAGCTTGGGAGGGCTGGGCTTGTGTTAACAGAGAGCAGCTGGAACAAACAGAGCGGTGTAAAATATCGAGTTCTTAAATATATTCTAGAGTTGTTGTGGTTCCCAAAGCTTTTACACTTCCTCCCAGTAATGATTTGATGGGATTGACTCCCAAAGCAGAAATTAAAACTGTCTTCTTGACTGTCTTTGGTGTTGTTCTTCCGGCCCTCAGTGACTCCTGTCTGTGCCAGTGTGCCAACCTGCCAGGGGTGAAGATGCTGCGCTCCAGCGCAGGGGGAGCGTCCCTGAAAGGCTGCGACTCTGAGGACCCATCAGGCCTTCAAGCTAATCTGGAAGGTGAGAAGCTTTTGCCTTGTCAATCTGTGCCAACTGAAGCCTGTGTTTGTGCATTTCCATGGCCCAGAAAAGGTCCAGCTGTGGTTTGTCCAACCCTGAGAAGGGCCCACAAGGGCTGCACTGAGTCTGTGACCATCTCAGCCCCAAAGCCCCTCGTCCTCCTCCAATTCACACAGCTCTGAGGCAGCACCAGTGTGGAGCTGCTGTGTTTCTGCCTGGTTTTCCTCACAGAACTCCTTTCTGTGTGTGTTCCAGGTGCCAGCCTGAAAGGAGTGGCCATGGAGGGCAGTCAGATGACAGGAATTACCCTCCGAGTTGCAAAGGTGAAAAATGCCAAACTAAAGAACTGTAACCTCAGGGGAGCAACGTTGGCAGGAACTGATTGGGAAGTGAGTTAGGATTCATTTTCCATCCTGTTCCTTTCTCTCCTCTAGTCAGCTGGGAATTTGGGGGATTGCTGGCTTTTGGCTGACCTCTCCAGCTTCAGCCTACAATGGAGTTCAGGTAAATGGACTTCAAGTAAAGCTTTGAACAGAGTTCTGGGTGCATTCCATTGACACTTCTTTTTCTTTTCCCCTTCCAAATTGTGACCTATCAGGTTGTGACCTCCAGGAAGCCAATTTGAGGGGCTCTGATGTGAAAGGAGCCATCTTTGAAGAGATGCTGACCCCCCTGCACATGTCCCAGAGCGTCAGATAGGGAAGAGAAGACGTCGAAGAGGAAGGATTCCAAACATTTGTTGTGATTTTCTTCACCTCCTCCCCTTCCTGAGTTAGAAGGAACGGTTATTAGACAACTTCCATTTGCAGTAGTGCCTAAGTAGACTCTTTCTGATCACTTTTGGGGAGGGAGTTTTTGTTTCAGAGGTGGAAACATGAGGTTTCTCCCTTTGTGAAGAGAGTGAGGAAGTGGGCTGGTTCTGAAACCAGAAAGTGGGGCTGGTTTGGGGGGGAGGGTTCAAGACTTTCATTGTTTAGCATTGCCTGACTTTGGAGTGCATTTTAATTTCTAAAGCACAATATATGCAATTCTATTTGTTAAGTCTGTAGCTGCAATATGAATAGAAAATGTTATTGCTGTATAGTAGCAAACAAAGTGGAGGTTTCCAGGTAGACAAGTGTATTTACAGTCCGTGTCTTCATTCCTGCAGGGTGTTAATGCCAGGGGTGGTCACACAGTGCCCATGGGATGTGTTCAGGTCTCTGCTGGGGTGGAAACAGTGGGGAACTGTCCTCAGAGGTCCTAAATCGCTGTGGAGTGGTTGGAGTGCAGGTTTAGAGCAGCTTTATCCCCTCAAATGTGCAGAGGAAGCTGTTGCCCCTGCAGGGACCTGCCCAGAGCCCGGATTGAGTTCCCCCTGGAAGATCCCTGGGCAGAAATGGGATGTCTCAGTTAATGCTCTCCAAAGGAGTGTGAAATTGCACTCTCAATCCCAGCTGGGAAGAAAAATTCCCCTGCTTCCACATGTCCTGAGCACTCCAGACTGGAGTTCCTGTAGCTTTTTCCTTCTTTGTTGGGAATTCAATGGACAGAGGAAAACACAGAAGTGTCCCCAAAGCAGAGAGAAGCTCTGGGGCCACAGCACCTGCTCCCCCTCTTCTCATCCCTTCAGCAGATGAAGAAATGGCCCTGTTTCCCCTCAATGTACTCTGCAAATCCTCCTTGAAAGCATGGGCATAATCCCATTTGCCAGCCAGATCCACTCTGGGCTGCCTAAAGTGGCTGTAAAAGCCTCTTGCCTGGGGCCAAGTGCCCCTTCCACACTTGCTTTACCTGTGGAAAAAAGCAGGAAAAGCTGTTTTTTGTGTGAGCACCCTTTGTGTCTCAGTGTTTGTGATCTTGGGAACCCTCACAAACCTGGAAAAATGCCAGATTATCGGTTGTCTTAAGATTTGTACCTGGAGATTGTTTTGATATGTGTTTATATCTTCCTTGAAAATACAACTGATAGAAAAAATGTAAAAAAAAAAAAAAAAAAAAAAAAAAAAAGGAAAAAAAATGGAAAAAAAGAAAAAAGAAAAAAAGGAAGAAAAAAGAGAAAAAAAAAAACAAATAAAGCAGAATAAAAGTGAGAAAAAGGACAGAAAAATGAGAAAAAAAAGCGAAAAAAAAGGACATTGAATAAATTAAGAAGGAAAAATGAGACCAAATAAAAAAAAAAAAAAAAAGGAAAAAACGAAAAAAGAAAAAGAGAAAGAAAAAAGAAAAAAGGGTAAAAAATAAAGCAGAAAGAAAAAAGAACAAAAAAGAAGGAATAAGGAACAAAAGCCTTATTACCCTCACTCCGCTCACGTGCAAATGGCCGCTGTGACCCGCCGCAAGGACTACAACTCCCGTGGTGCCCCGCGCGGGGCGCAGCCGCGGCGGCGGGCGTGCGGGGGCGTGGCCGCGCGCTGATTGGCTGCGGCGGTGTTCTCTAAGCGCGGTGCGCGCGCAGAGCGCCGTGTCGACTTCCGGGAGTCGTTGATGGCGGCGGGGCCCGCATTGTGCTGTAAGAGCTGTCGGGGGGTGCGGGAGAGCGGGGTCTGGGGATCCCCTCGGGGGCTGCGGGGAGCGCGGCTGTGGGTGGAAAGGCTGGAGGGCTCGGGAGGGTTTGGCGGGGGGGTTCGGGGGTTCCCGAGGGTCAGAGCGCAGGGCCTTGGAACCCTCTCGGGGGCCGCGGGGCCCGGGGGCCTCCCAAGAACCCGAATGGGTGATTTGATTCCTGAGAAAGTCCCTCGGAAAAAAAAAATCAAAACCACCCGACAAAAAAAGAACCCTAAAAAAGGGAAAAGTGAGAAAAAGGTGAAGAAAAAACTGCAGGGGCCAGGATGATTTTATTGCTTTGCTTCAGTTTTTCCTTGGTCTCCTCCTTCTCAGGTTTTCTGCTCTCTTCCTTTACAGAAAGCTCTTCTGCTGTTGTGTGGTTTTGGGGTCCCTGGGGGTTCCCTGAGGAGGTTTTGGGGGGTCCCTGAAGGGGTTTAGTGTCCTGAGGGGACTTAAGGGGGGGGGGTTGACGGTCCCTGAATGGGTTTGGGAATCCCTGAGGGAGTTTTGGAGTCTCCGAGGGAATTGGGAGGTCCTGGGGAGGGCCTTTGGGGGGGTCTTTGAAGCAGTTTTGTGGGTTTCTAGTGGGATTTTGGGAGTTCCAGACGGCTTTGAGGGTCCCTGAGGGGGTTTTTTGGGTCCCCTGAAAGGGCCTGGGGATTCCAGGTGGGTTTTGCAAGTCACTGAGAGGGTTTAGGGGGTCCTGGGGGGATATGAGGTCTCTGAGGCTTTCTGAGGAGATTTCAAGGGGTTCTGAGGGGATTTTATGGGGTCTCTGTGACGGCAGACCGACCCCAGGGAAAGGGGATCCCAATGCCTGTCCTGAACCCCAGAGACCCCCAAAACTCAGTACACAGAGACCCCACAGGGGGGCCGGGGGGCCCCTAAAGCCCAGCAGTGGGGTTCATGGGGTCCCCCAACCCCCAGGGGAGGAGTCTGGGGGGTGCCCCCCAAAGTGCGGGGGGAGATGAACCACATCTGGGTAAGGGGATCCCAGTGCCCCCAGTATATTCCAGTGACCTCCCAGTGATCCTCAGTACAGCCCAGTAACCCCCTCAGTGACCACCCAGTATGTCCCAGTGACCTCCCACTGCCCCCCAGTATGGCCCAGTGATCCTCCAGTGTGCACCCAGTAACCAGCCAGTGTCCCCGTGTGTGTCCTGGTAATCCCCCAGTAACTCATCAGTCCCTCCCAGTGTCCCTCCGTAACCCCCAGTCCCTCCCAGTGCTCCCTGGTTCCCCCCGGTGTGTCCCAGTACCCCCCAGTAATCCCCCAGTGCCCCCAAAGCCCCCCAACTGTCCCCAGCGTGTCCCCAGATGCCCTTGGCCTTTCTATGGCCGGGGGGGGGGGCGTTTTTGTGGTCAGAGGGTCCAGGGGGGTCTTCTGGGGTGAGATGGAGGGTTGGGGACATCAGGGATGGGGTTTGGGGACAGTGGAATTGGGGGTGTCAAGGGGGGAATTGGAAACACCAAAAGGGTCTTGGGGACATGAGGGGAGTCTCAGGACTGACCTGCTTGTAGGGAAGCCCCTCCTCTGCCCCTCTAGGCCCCATTAACCCCCCACCAAATGTCCCCCAACTCCCCTTTTTTTCCTTTAATCCCCTCCCCCCACTGATCCCTTTGACCCCCCAATGCCCACAAGACCCTTTTAACTCCCCCAGATGTACCCAAAGCCCCACCAAATCCCCATCCAACCCCTCCAGATCCCCCCAAATCTCCCCCAGCTCTTCCTTCAAATCCCTCCCAACCCCCCCCAAAGAGGGATCACCCGGCACCCTGGGACAGGAACACAGTGGGCTGTACTGGGGGCACTGGGCTGTACTGGGAGGGCACTGGGGGGGCTCAGGTGTCCCCCGACAACGTGGCCCAGCTCCAGGAGAGATCCGGGAAGCGGTGAGGGGGTACTGGTCTGTCCTGGTCTGTTCTGGTCTGTCCTGGTTTATCCCCCCAATCCCCAAAGCCCCTCCCCAGCTCCCCCAGGCCCCTGACTTGGTCCTGCTGCCCCTTGAGCATCTGCAGCTCCTGCAGAACCAGGCATTTCATCAGCAAATGTGCAGGTGACCCCAAGCTGGGGGTGTGTTGATGTGCTGGAAGGCAGGAGGGCTCTGGAGCACAAGTGGTGAGGAGAGGCTGAGGGAGCTGGGGGTGTTGAGGCTGGAGAAGAGGAGGCTCAGGGGAGACCTCCTGACTGTCTGCAAGTCCCTGCCAGGAGGTTGGAGCCAGGTGGGGTGGGGCTGTTGTGCCAGGAAGCAGCAGTAGGACAAGAGGGCTGGGTCTGGAGCTGTGCCAGGGGAGGTTAAAGTTGGATATTGGGAAGGAATTTTTTGCTGAGAGAGTAATGAGGCCTTGGAATGGGCTGGGCAGGGAGGGGGTGGAGTCCCCGTCCCTGGAGGTGTTGAAGGTGAGAGTGGATGTGGCCTCAGTGCCATGGTCTGGGAAGCACGGCGGGGTTGGATCCAGGGTTGGACTTGATGATCTCAGAGGTCTTTTCCAACGTGGCTGATTCTGTGATTCTCTGATTGCCATTCCTGTGGCAGCACATGCTTGAGGCTCCATCCCCAGGGTGATGGAGATGTCTGTCCATATCTATCTCCAAGGTTAGTCTGTAAATGTGTGGTGTTAGAAAAGCAGGCTGAGTTGTGGGCTGGTTGTAGAAGGAGAAAGAAGCCCCCAGCCCAGTGCAAGCAGGCAGCCCTCAGCTTGCACATGATGTCCCCTCCCTGCAGGTTCCTGTCCTTGAGCCCAGGCCCTGAGGTGAGGCTGAGAAGTGGCGCGGAGGTGAGCCCAGAGCTGTCCCTGAGGTGAGGCTGAGAATAAGTGCAAGGCAGAGTTGCTGCTGAGGAAGGAGAGCCCCGTGGTGGGGAAGGCACAAAGCTGTGTGTGCCCATCCCCGAGCAGGTGCTGTGTCCATCCCCTGTGTGCCAGGTGAGCTGGGGCTTTGCTGCAGAGCTGCGGGCGCTGATTTGAGCGGCTGCAAGTGCTGAGATGGTGGGCACCCAGGAACACCAACTGTGCCTGGCCACGGAGCCTACAAGGAGGAGCAGAGACAGCCGTGGCAGTGTGGGGGGCCAGGTTGTCCCTGTGCCTTCCCCTGCAGGCCCTGGCTGTCCCTGCTGGGCCCCTGTCCATCCCCATCAGGTCCCTGCCCGTCCCCCCGGGCTGAGCTCCCCCCAGGAAGTGCCGTGGAGCTGAAGCTGCTGCCATCCCCCCCTGCAGCCGCTGCCCCAGCCAAGGGAGCAGCAAAGGCAGGGCCAGGAGCAGAGGCAGCAGCAGGGGAGCCCTGGGGGGGCCGGGAAGCTCTTGTGTGGGGCAGGAAAGAGGCGCTGGGCACGAGGCCGGGGCTGTGCTGAGCAGGCCCAGCCCTCACATCCCCCCAGCCAACGCCGGCTGCCCGGGGGGCTTGGGAGGGACCCCCAGCCCGTGTGCCCCACACTGAGCTGGCAGAGAGAGAGCCAAGGGACAGGGATGTGGGCAGGGCCCTGGGTGAGGGACAGGCAGGGCCATTGCAGGGCCATGGTGAGGGCACAACCTGTGGCAGCAGAGCTGCCCAGGGCCGGGGGCAGCCGGGGGGGTTGGTACCAGCCAGTG